AGTTTTCCATATGCTATTTTTTGTATGCCTTGCTTCCTATTTTCTAAGGAAAGTTCATATTAGTGCGTGAGTTGAGTAGTTCCTTCTAGAGTTCGTTTTCCTTTTGTCGCGTTCGAGTTCATAGCCTATTGGCACATTGTGGCATCATATGAGACTTTTGATCATGTCCGGGGTGGCTTATTGCCTGAGCGGTTCGTACTGGGTGAGACGAGATCATTGGATTTAGGATCAGTGCAATTTGATTATATGAAGTATATTAAGGAACTAAGACCGTTATCTGGTTCAGAATGAGGTGATGGTTCTTATCAGGAGTATAGGCCCAATGATTGTTGATTCGGCAGTTGGGTATGAATTTCTACACACCTCTTCCATCTTGGCGGTATTGTAAGAGTTAGAGCAAGACCGTCATGAGGTGCAATGGAAGCATCAGATTCGTGGAATTTCGACTAATTTGATCAGAGAATGTTATTGTGGTCCTGTGAGTAAAGTGGTGCAAGGTGTGAAGTCAGCTAAGGTATGCAGTCATGTTTTGGTACTGCGAGTAGTTATTGATACGGTGAGCGTATGTTGGAACAGGCCTGGCAGAGAATTCTGGATGTAGGAATTGGGCTCTAAGGCTTATTTGCTTAAGTGAAAAAGGGATATCTTCAGATTGATCGAGCTAGGGCACCCAGCTGAGTTGTGGTAGCATGGATAGGTGCTCGAGGTGTTAAGCAGTGATTTCGAACAACCCCAACACAGTTCTTAGCACGTTCGAGGACGAACGTATGTTTAAGTGGGAGAGGATGTAACAACCCGACCGGTCGTTTTGAGCTCTAGCGCGTCGCTCAGCAATTTGGGGCCATGAGCAGTTTCACTTTAGGTATGTCTCTATGCTCGTTCGAGGACGAACGAATGTTTAAGTGTAAGAGAATGTGACGACCCGGCCGGTCGTCTTAAGAATTTACACCCCGATCCCCTATTAACTGCTTTCCCCAAGTTTATTTCTGCTATTTTGATTTGCCGGGACGTTCGGTTTTGAGTTTCGGAGAGTTTTGGGACACAGTCCCCAAATGAGAGCTTAAGTCTTGGAAATTTGACCATAGTCGGAACAATGTGAAGACGGCCTCGGAATGGGAATCTGATGGTTCTGTTAGCTCCGTTGGGTGATTTCGGGCTTAGGGGCGTGTCCGGAGTGTGTTTTGGAGGTCCGTAGCTAATTTAGGCTTGAAATGCCGAAAGGTCGAATTTTGAAGTTCGGTTCGATAGTGAGAATTTGATCCGAGGGTCGAAAAGGAATTCCGAGAGTTACAGTAGTTCCGTTATGTCATTCAGGACGTGTGTGCAAAATTTCAGGTCATTCGAACGAGATCTGATAGACTTTTTGATCGAAAGTGTATTTTGAGAAATTTGGAGTTCTTAGGCTTGAATCCATGGTTAATTTGAGGTTTCGATGTTGTTTTAGGTGTTTTAAGGATTGGTACAAGTTTGAATAAGGTTTTAGGACATGTTGATTCCTTTGGTTGAGGTCCCGGGGGCCTCGGGTGTGTTTCGGATGCTCAACGGAGCATTTTAAGTTGTTAAAAAGTTGCAGGTTTTTGTTCAGTTGTTGCAGAGGGATTTTACCCTTCGCGTTCACAATGAAGGCTCCGCATTCGCGAAGGGTGATGATGTTTGAGCATCGCGTTCGCGGGAAGGGTACCCCGTTCGCGTAAAAGAAGTGGTCAGCTGGGTTCGAGGTGGAATTGTTCTCCGCGTTCGCGAGATGTGTAACGCGTTCGCGAATGGTTGGTCAGTGGAAGCATCGCATTCGCGAGAGAAGTGTCGCGTTCGCGTAAGAGGTCTTTTGCTCAACAACATTTTTGTGCTTCGCGAACGCGAGGCCTTGACCGCGTTCGCGAAGAATGAATTAAAATACCTGGGCAGAATGTTTTAAAAGGGTTATTTCGCGAGTTTTAGCCTAGTTTCCTCCATTGTTAGGCGATTTTGAAGCTTTTTGAAGTGGGTTGAAGAGGGATTCAAGGGGAATCACTTGGAGGTAACATTTTTGACTTCATAACTCGTTTTTATGTGATTAAAGACCTAATTAGTGATGAGAAATTTGGGAAAAATGGGTAATTAGGACTTGAGTTTAAGAGGCCTTTAAATGAGGATTTGAGGGGTCAGTTGGACTCCGATATCAGTGTTCTTGGTATGTATGAACTCGTGAGAGTACGAGGATTCCGAAAATGTAAATTTTACCCGATTCCGAGACATGGGCCTGAGGGGCATTTTGGTCATTTTACCTAATTTCGCGTATTAGCTTAGAATTTAATTATAGAATCAATTACTTGAAGTATTATTTGCATTATGAAATTTAATTGAATAGATTTTGGCCATTTGGAGTCGGATACTCGTGGCAAAGGCGTGGTTTCGGGTTGACTTGCACTTGTTCGAGGTAAGTGGCTTGTCTAACCTTGCGTGGGGGACCTTTCCCCTTAGGATTGATATTGTGGTAATTGAAATGCCTCGTACGTGAGGTGATGAGCGCGTAATTGTTCAAATTGTTGGAAATTCGATTTTTCATTAAAAATAGCCTTGAATTGTGTTCTTCCTTTTCTTGCTTACACTGTTTGGAAACTAAACCTGCTGTAACCTAGAGAAGCATGTCTACTTGACTAAATTGCTCTATTTGCCTTAACTGCGTTAATTGTATTACGTGAGTCATGCTAGGTTAGGATTACCTGCTTCACATTTGATATGAAATTGATTGAATTGAATTCCTGTTGTTGCTGCGTATTTACTTTGGGACGGTATCCCGGGAGCTCCCCTGCATGTTTACTTTGGGACTACGGAACGGTATTCCGGGAGGTCCCCCTGCATGTTTACTTTGGGACTACGGGACGGCATCTCGGGAGCTCCCCTGCATGTTTACTTTGGGACTATGGAACGGTATTCCGGGAGATCCCCCTGCACTTTTACTTTGGGACTACGGGACGGTATTCCGGGAGCTCCCCCTGCATGTTTACTTTGGGACTACGGAACAGTATTCCGGGAGATTCCCCTGCACTTTTAGAGTTGGACTACGGGACTGCACCCGGGAGATCCACTGGATATGATATTTATATTTGGGGACTACAGGACGGTATCCTGGGAGATCCCCAGTTGTTATCTTGGAGCTGAGTTGTGTTCTCTTACTGCGATTTACTTTCCTTTGTAATAGTTGTTGCTGTCCTTCATATCTTGTGTTACTTATTTATACTGGTTATTTCACACTGTTAAACCTTATATCTTATTTAACCTCAGTAGGGCCCTGACCTTCCTCGTCACTACCTAACCGAGGTTAGGCTTGGCACTTACTGAGTACTGCAGTGGTGTACCCATGCCCTTCATACGCATGTTTTTCATGTGCAAATATAGGTACCCCTACTCACGTTTACCATTCTTGAGGCGAGGCGATTCTACGGGACTTCGAGGTATATCTGCCGCTTCCGCAGACCGAGGAGTCTCTTTCCATTCCTGCATTTTGTATTTAGCCCTTCTGTACTTTCTGTTATTGTTAGACATTCCGGAGATTAGAGCTATGTAGTGTTATCACAGCTTGTGGATCCGTGAGTTTCCGGGTTTTGGGATAGTGTATCAGACTTTGAAAAGTTGTGTGTATATGCCAAGCAGCATTTAAATACTATTTCTTTCAGTTATTCGGCTTTTGATCATTTATTCCGCAAGATTAGTTGTTTCTGCATTTGTTAGGCTTACCTAGTCGTAGAGACTAGGTGCCGTCACGATAGTTCACGGAGGGCGAACTGGGGTCGTGACATTAGTTTTATTTTAGTAGTTCATTTTAATTAACTAAGAGTAATTTTTATATTTTTATAAATACATTATATTATTTTAGTCTTCTTAGCCCAAAATTAAAACCCAACAAGACATCGACACAACTCAATTTTCTAAATCCAAGTCCAATACCCTTTAAACCCACCAAAAAAAACCTAATTCCTTAAGTGAAGACCTCACCCTATCTCCTCTAATCTTCAGCCGTTACCCCCCCCCCCCCTCCCCCTTTGAGAATTGAAGATCTCTCTCAATTTTTTAGAGCAACAACAGCCCATCTCCGACCATCTTGTCGGAATCTGAATCCTCACGCCTCTCTGCCACCCAGAAACTGAAAGGAAAGTGGAAGAAGTATGGAAATTTTCTCTCTGATTGTATTCACAAAATGTAATCCTATATATACAGATTTATCTGCTATGTAATGACAAAATTGAAGAAGATTCCTAGACACTTGTACTAATCCTATTTGCTTACAGTGTAACAGAAAAAAAACAATAAATATTCCCTTCTATGTGCTCATGTGAATGTCACGTGAGTTCCTTTTCTAATATTTACACTATTCTAATATCTATACATCAGCTATAGAGTAAATCAAACGGTAGAAAATGAAGCATCATAACCATATATGATCCTTCCACTCCTTCCACGTGTAAGGCTAGGATTTAATTGAGTAGAAGAACCATCTAGATATCTAACATAGAGATGTCCGAAACTTAGGTTATTGTCTAAGAGAAACCTAGTTTGGACTCTTCTTCTTCCTTTGTTTTGTTGAGAGAAGCCTTAAGAAAAATGGGTGAAGAAGCCATGGCCGCCATTGTTTTCTTCTTCTCTTCATCATCCCCCCTCAAGCTGGTGGGTAGAGACAAAACCCCCAGCTTGCTCATGATATTGGTGTGAGAAATCCCGGATAAAGGTTTGGTAAACAGATCGGCGACTTGATCTTTGGAAGGAACGAAAGAAAGAGATATCAAACCAGCAAGAAATTGTTGTTTGACAAAATGACAATCCAACTCTACATGTTTGGTCCGTTCATGAAAAACGGGATTTCGAGCGATATGAATGGTCGCCTGACTGTCAGAGTGCAAAGGCACCAGCAAGGTTGGAGGAGCAGACAAATCAGCGAGAAGTCGAACAAGCCAAGTGATTTCAGCAGTGACACGGCGCATGGAGCGATACTCAGATTCAGCGGATGACAAAGAAATGGAAATCTACTTCTTCGATTTCCATGAAATAGGAGCACCACTAAGGGTAATGAAAAATCCATTGATGGATCGACGAGAATCCTTACAGGCAGCCCAGTCAGCGTCGCAAAAGGCAACAAGATCAAAAGAGGGAGCAGAGGAGAGGAGAATGCCTTGGCCTGGGTCTGATCTAAGGTATCGAAGGACTCTAAGACCAGCAGAGAAGTGAGAAAGAGAGGGTCTTTGCATAAACTGACTGAGGCAAAGCACAGCAAAGCAGATATCTGGGCGTGTGTTGGTAAGATAATTAAGCTTACCAACCAAACACCGATAAATAGTGGGATACTCCATGAGTGGTTCTGAGTCAGCATGCAATTTGGAATATGGATCAAGAGGAGATGAAACAGAAGCCCCTTTGCAATCAAACTCAGCCAACAAATCCAAGGTAAATTTCCTTTGACTCACTATATAGCCTTGTGGTTCTTTTAGTATCTCCATCCCCAAGAATTAATGAATACTCCCTAAGTTCTTAACTTTGAATTCAGAATTCAAGAACTCAGTAATATGCTGTATTTCTAGATCATCATTTCCTGTAATAAGAATATCATCAACATATACTGCAATAATAGAAACATGCTGATTTGTGTGCTTGTAGAATAGAGAATAGTCATTCAAAGAACTAGAATATCCTTTGTAGCTAAGAGCCGCTGCCATACGAGCATACCATTGCCTGGATGCTTGTTTTAAACCATAGAGTGACTTCCTCAGTAGACACACCTGATTAGGGTGAGAGGGAGTGAGACCAGCTGGACATTTCATGTATACCTTTTCCTGGAGGTCTCCATGTAGAAATGCATTGTTGATATCTAATTGGGAGACCTCCCAACCCTTCTTTATAGCTACAGTTAGTAAACACCTGATGGTGGTCATTTTGACCACTGGACTGAAAGTCTCAAAATAATTCACACCTTCTCTTTGAATATCCCCCCTTACCACCAACCTTGCTTTCAACCTTTCAAGGGATCCATCTGACTTGTGCTTGACTTTGTAAACCCATTTGCAAGGCAAAGCCTTCTTCCCTGGGGGTAAAGACACCACATCCCAAGTGTGGTTGAGCTGAAGAGCTTGGATTTCAGCTTCCATAGCTCTTATCCATCCAGGATCCTTAGAAGCCTGAGAATAACTGGTAGGTTCAGAAACTGAGGAAATAGATTTGAAAACAGCCTGATTGTTAGGAGAAAGGGCTCCAAAAGAAAACACAGGAGGTTGAGAAACATGATGGAAACATGATGAGGTAAGATCAGATAAAACAATGGTATTACACACATAATCATCAAGGTAGGTTGGTTTCTGGGAGATTCTCTCAGATTTTCTAAGAGGGGGAGGTGGAATGGGTATGGTAGGCTGTGGAGTATGAGAAGGAGTAGGAGACATAGGAGAATGTGGAATACTAGGTGCAAGATTAGGACTAGCAGAAGGATGGCTAGAGCTAGATGGGCTATAATCAGAAGTCTGAGGAGAAAAGGAGTCAGTGGAGTCTGGCTGATGATCAGAGGGTGTGCTGGGAGATGGAAAATTCTGGGATGTAGTTTCAGTAGTGGTAGGATAATTAGGGAAGAAAGGATAAGAAGGAAAAAATAAGGGTGAAGTGATAGGAGTAGTAGCAAATGGGAATATCATTTCATGGAACTTAACATCTCTTGAGGTAAAAACTTTCTTGGAATGCAAATCTAGCAGTTTGTATCCTTTTTGCTGTTGTGCATATCCTAGGAAAACACAAGCTTGGGCCCTGGGATCAAATTTGCTCCTGTGTTGTGATATAGTAGATGCATAACATAGGCAACCAAAGGATTTGAGCTGTTCATATTGTGGTCTCCTCTTGAACAAAATCTCATAGGGAGTTTTCCCATTTAGAACCCTGGAAGGAAACCTATTGATTAGATGTGTAGCAGTCAAAACACATTCTCCCCAATACTGAATAGGAACTTGTGAATGGAAATACAAACTCCTAGCCACTTCCAAAAGGTGTCTATGCTTTCTCTCCACAACTCCATTCTGTTGGGGTGTTGCCACACATGAAGTCTCATGTAATATACCCTGAGACTGGAGGAAATCAGATTGAAAAAATCCTTTACCCAGTTCCATTGCATTATCAGATCTGATTCTTTTCACCTTCTTCCCAAACTGTCTCTCTACCATGTTTAAGAAAGACTGTAAAACAGTGAAAGCATTGCTCTTTGAACTTAAAAGAAAAGTCCAAGTTCCCCTACTAAAATCATCAACTACTGTTAAAAAATATTTGTATCCATTGTAAGTGGTGTTTTTGAATGGTCCCCATATATCAATATGAATGAGATCAAATATCTCATGAGTTCTAATTTGACTTAAGGGAAAAGGTAATCTACTTTGTCTAGCCTTTGGACAGATATCACACACACAATTAAAATTAGAAGGAAAATGAATGAACTGGAGATTTTTCATTACTGAAAATGGGAGATGTCCCAATCTAACATGCCATTTCAATACATTGGAATCATCTGTATTGGAATTAGAAACAGAACAGGAAACCTTGCTAGGAACAACACTGGAATTACTTCCTTTTGGAATTAAAACATTGTTACTTAAACTAGAATCTGAATCTAACTTAGTTGGGCTAGGATCCAGCAGGTACAATCCTCCTCTTAATTCACCAAAAACTTGTCCCCTCCTCATTAAAGGGACCTGCATGATGCACCCATTAGAAGTCAGATTGAGAGAACAATGAAATTGGACACAGAATTTATGAACTGATAGCAAATTATACTTGAAAGAAGGGACATAAAGTACCCTTTCAAGAATCATATCAGATTGAATAGGAACTCTACCTATGTGTGTGACATATAATTGAAATGAACTAGGAAGGCTAATGTGTATAGGAACAGAAAGAGGATCTAAGAATAAAAAACAACTTGAATCAAAACACATGTGTTCAGAAGCCCCTGAATCAATGATCCAGATTTTTGTGTTAAAAGCTGCCAAACAAGTTCCAGAGTATTTAAGAATGGTACCAGCTACTGCATTTGCATTAATTGCAGTTCCTGGACCTGTGGTATTTGCAAATTGTGCCTGCTTGATAAGGTTCATTAATTCAGACACCTGCTCCTTGCTGAAAAACTGAGTTTGAAGTGTTGATTCATTGTTTTGAGTGTTCCTATTCTCATTATCTTGTCCTTCAATTGTAGCATTAGCCTTTACTTGTGCTGAATTAGTGAATTGAAAGTCATCTGGAAATCCATTCAGCCTATAACATTCTGCCCTGACATGCCCAGTCTTCATGCAATGTGTGCAGCTCACATTAGGGTTAAACCTTGATTTTCTTCCCTTATTTTTCTGCTGTGTCCCCATAACCTTTTGTGTGCTGTTCCATGTCCTTTGTTGTGGTTGATTGTTGTTCCTTTGTGGTAACTTTCCTTGCACTCCTGCCATGAATGAGGTAGCATCACCATTAAATTGTGGTCTTGCATATATCTCCCTCTGATTCTCATGTTGAAGAAGAAGAGAATAGGCAAAGTCTATTCCAGGTAGTGGGTTCATCATTAGGATGTTTTGCTTGAGAGTAGGAATCATTGAGTCCCATAAAAAACTGAATAATTCTTTGATCCTCTAAGAACTTAGTGACCTTTTTCTTTCCATCACAAACACAGTCACAAGTACACACCAAATGAGAGTTGAGAGAATCAAGTTCATCCCAAAGTTTCTTTAGTGTGGTAAAATATCCTGCAATGTTGTTGTTACCCTGAACTAACATGGATATTTCTTTCTGCAGCTGGTGCAGTTTGGCTCCATTGGTTTGGCCAAATCTGTGCTCAAGGCTGTTCCATAGATCCCTTGCTGATTTCGAATAGATGACACTGTCACCTATTTCTTTGGATAAAGAATTCAGGAGCCAAGAGGTGACCATGAAGTTGCATCTACTCCATTGTGGGTGATCTTGAGCATCAGCTTTTGGCTCCACACAGTCTCCATTTATGAAACCTATCTTGTTCTTTGCCGAAAGAGCTATGAGGATTGATCTCCTCCATCCTGCAAAACCTCTACCATCAAAGGGCGTGGTCACAAGGCTTAAACCAGGTGCATCAGAAGAATGGAGGAAATAAGGGTGATTTACATCTTGTGGAGTGACTTGACTGGTTGAACCAGAGTTGACAGAAGCAGAAGAAGTAGGAGGAACTTCTTCTCCTGCCATTGATGAAGTTTAAAAATCTGAGAAAGATATTTTGGATCGAGCTAACCTTGCTCTGATACCATGAAAGGAAAATGGAAGAAGTATGGAAATTTTCTCTCTGATTGTATTCACAAAATGTAATCCTATATATACAGATTTATCTGCTATGTAATGACAAAATTGAAGAAGATTCCTAGACACTTGTACTAATCCTATTTGTTTACAGTGTAACAGGAAAAAAACAATAAATATTCCCTTCTATGTGCTCATGTGAATGTCACGTGAGTTCCTCTTCTAATATTTACACTATTCTAATATCTATACATCAGCTATAGAGTAAATCAAACGGTAGAAAATGAAGCATCATAACCATATATGATCCTTCCACTCCTTCCACGTGTAAGGCTAGGATTTAATTGAGTAGAAGAACCATCTAGATATCTAACATAGAGATGTCCGAAACTTAGGTTATTGTCTGAGAGAAACCTAGTTTGGACTCTTCTTCTTCCTTTGTTTTGTTGAGAGAAGCCTTAAGAAAAATGGGTGAAGAAGCCATGGCCGCCATTGTTTTCTTCTTCTCTTCATCAGAAACAGCCGCACGCTGCTGCCTCTGCCATCTCCCAACAAGCACACTACCCATTTCTTCCATTGAAGACCAGCCACGACCCTTCCTCCTCCGAGCTCTGCCTCAGCATCGATGACAGACCCAACTCCACCTCCCTACTGCCATCTTCAACCAGCGAAAATAAGCATCAAAATCACCATCCAAAGCTAGCTGAAACGCAGCACCAAACCACCCCAAAAAGGCTACCCAAGTTCAGTCTGTCTTTGAGTCGGGTTCAAGGTTTCTGGCGCTGGCGCGAGTCTTGATCGGATCGTGGTTTGTTTGTACAAAAGTTCTAGCGGTTCTCGGCTCCCTATAATGTATTGAAGATTATATTTCAACTATTAAAAGGTCTATTTTCTACTTTAGTTACTACTTTCATGCTTTAATTATTCTCTGTTAATTGTTTGTTTGTAACTAGTGTGTAGGTATAGTTTAGAATTTGGTTGATGAATAATGAGGTTTGATATTGAGAATGAAACGCTATTAATGTTTGGTTGTTTTCTTTTAATTATTGTTCTTTCTTGTTTCATGATTAGATGGTTTTATTTACAGCTATAACTTGTTCGTTGATTAGGTTGAGTTAACAGATTTTAGTTGATTTTGTTAATTTGTTTAATAAAGTTAATAGCGAGAGGGGAAAGCCACAATTCGTATAAACAAAAATAGATCATGATCATATGTAAAGTGTGTAATGATGCGCAACGATGATAAGTCGTAGAGAAACTAATTAAGCACTATTGTAATTACTGTCATCTTATTTCTTTTGAATTGCCATACAAAGACAAGAAACAATTAAGGAGGGATTGAGGTCACAAATGATGATTTAGAGCTCCAAGCAGCGCTAGCCTCTTTTTTATTTCTATGCATGGTCCAGAAACAAGGTATTAAGTCATTATTTTTAGAAGCCCTCTATTTACTTAATACAGTACTCTGCTGAAGAACAAAGAATTGCTGCGTTTTTAAAAAAAATTTAGAATGCTTTAGGCGTGTCTTAAAATTATTATCGTGATTATGTACATGTTCGTGTGACACAATTATGATTTTCTAAATAAATCAAGGTACGCGTTCGGGCGACCTTGCCAAACACTTCTTAATAATAATAAAGTGTTATTAATTGTGTACACGTACGCGTGACATGACTTTGACACACCAAACGAAATGAGTACACGTATGTGTGACTGAGATAATTCTATAATTATGAATAATCAAGCAATTTAAAAGCGATAAAAGGTAAAATGTACATAAGCTCTAAAATACGTAATTAAACAACTTAATTGAGTCAGGTATGATTAAAGTGACCGTGCTAAAACCACGAAATCCGGGAACGCCTAACACATTTTCCTGGGTTAACAGAATTCCTTACCCGGTCTTCTGGTTTCGCGGACTTTAAAACAGAGTCAAATTTCAAATGGCGACTCTGAATCAATAAATAATCTCATTTCGATTAATGCCATTTTAATTGGAAAAACTCCATATCCCCTCGGAAAAAAAGAGGTGTGACATACATTTCACGGATAATGCAATTGCTCTGACTTTGAGCTTAATCTCTCTCGTCATTTTAGAATCTTCTAATTCACTACATTTACATTTCCTTCTTCCTCATTAGCTCAATATGGTATCAGATAGGAGTATCCTTAATTATCTGGTTAGCTATGTAAAAATCACAACTCAAATTAATACCACTGATTAGGTTAACTATTTTAAACAGAAGAAAAAAAATTGAATCCAAAGAGAGAGGAGCTCACGTGCACTAAGATATATGGTTGATTCAATCTTGTACTATACTACTCATATTAAATTATTAATGGGAAGGACATAAATCATCACATAGAAAATGAAACTTAGCTGAGCATCCCGACTTTATTATTTATGCAGAATTGAGAAGTTACTTGATACATGCCATCTACAGAAAAGTGTATGTGAAGTTAGCGGCCGGCTGTGAAAACAAGCTCATGGATATTATATTGGTGGTTAAATTAAAAATGTTGCCAAACACTCCTTGCAGTGGCGGAGTCAGCATTTTCATTAAGGGGAGTCAAAATATAAAGAAATAAACTCACCAAAAAGTCAAAGGATATCATTATATAGTATATATACATATTTTTAAAAGAATTATCGAGCTTAACAGTATAATTTTCCGACGAAGAAGTGTCGGTTGACACCCCTTGGGTGCATGTGGCTCCGCCACTGACCCCTTGTCTGTGTTCACCATAAAACTATTCGTGTCATCCTTTTATTTTAGTTTCTTTCAGAAAGCTAGAATGTTGATTTTACACAAACTTTTAATTTTATTCTTAATGAGATAATTTATAGTTATATAAATATCTCAAAATTAATTTAAGCCAGAAGTTTCAAAAGCTTTTTTTTTTCTAGAGTATTGGACCTACGCTTTTCTTTTTCATGAAAAAGGTAATGTGGAAAATCAAAGCATGGGCGGCAGACCGTAGCATGTTCTCCACATGGAATTTGGAAAAGTAGCTGACACAACTTTAGGACCTCGTCTAACTATACCTTTCTTCATACAATCAACAATAAAGTACTGCTTCTTGTAGAAAGTTCTTCTCTCTGTGTTATGAATACTTTGCTAGCACTGCTTCGCGTTTTACCGTGTGTTATTATGTAAGGAATAACGGACACGAGGCTAAGAGAATTGGAGAAATTCTTCGACGTTATATTGTTAGGACCGAAAAAGTTACGTGTCATACAGAAGCTAGCAAAACAAACTTTCAACGATGATAAATAAGACAACAAAAGAGAAATATATCAAAAGAGACACAAACATTTAACGTGGTTCGGCCAACCGACCTACGTCCACGGCGAAGATGAGCAATCCATTATATAAAAGAGAGTACAAAATATCGAGAGAACAACCTCACGAAGACGCAAACACAAGTGACATACTAACACTTATCCTGTAAAGTTCTCCCCCTAAATACGACTCTCAAACCCCATACGGCTACATTGTGGATGCTACTGAATGAGAAGGAAGGATCCTCAATTTATAGAAGTCCAAACCTTTTCTTCCAAGAAAAGGGACTAGCCAAATATGGGAGATTTGTAATTTGCTTCTACAAGAAGGAAAATCCAATTAAGGTAAATATATTGCAATTCTTTCGTGAGATAGGAAAACCAATTATGGTAAGTAGGGGTGTTCATGGTTCGGTTTGAATTGGTTTTTCCCTAAAAAGAAACCAAACCAAGTGAGTCGGTTTTTCAAATATTAGAACCAAACCAAACCAATTAAGTCGGTTTTTTCTCGATTCGGTTTATGTCGGGTTTTGTCGGTTTTTCGGTTTTTTCGGTTATTTCTCGGTTTTTCTTAAATATAAGACATACACTACCAAACACATATTCCGGCGATCACATTTCAACGTAACACTATCAAATCAATTGTCCTTTGAGAAATCTGTTATTTACTAAAATATATTGATAATAGTTGAATCAAATAGTGATGAATAATTTAAGGACTCAATTAAAAATATATTATTTTTAACATGAAATGGAATCTTACACTTAACAAAAGAAAACTACCAATCAAACTAGAATATAAAGGTAAAGAACCGTAGTAAAAGTGCAAACGATTAACATTCACCGTAAAATTTTTGAAACTTTGTATAAAAATATACATATATATAGGTGTAATAATAAATTTGAAATATCTACTCCTATAGTCGGTTTGGTTCGGTTTTTTCTGGTTATATTTTGATTAAAATCAAAACCAAACCAAATTTGATCGGTTTTTAAAATTCAAAACTAAAACCAAACCAAACCAAAAAATATCAGTTTTTTTGGTCGGTTTGTTTTGGTTTTCGGTTTGATTCGGTTTTTCGGGTTTTTATGAACACCCCTAATGGTAAGAAAATCTGAACAAACACCTAACATATATCTCATACAAACAAGCAAAACTAAATATATGAGGACATATTTTTATTAGACATGTGAACTGTAGATTTTAATCTTTGTTTGACATCTTGATTTTTTAATTGACATGTGAGGGTTATGATACAACCTAGGGAGAACCACACCCCAAAAGCTAGCTATTAAGGTGGGAGAGCCCAAGGCTATATAAACCCCACATCAACACTTTATAGTACCGATGTGGGACTCAAAGTCCCATTCCTTGCAATAGTTCATAACAGTTATCTTCTTTATTTGACAGGTGAACTGTAGATCTTAGTGGTTGGTATTCAGAAAGAAGGTAATTAAACAAAGAAAGAAACATTCAATCATTGTACAGTAAAATGGCGGAAGATCTTGGTCCTAAATGCCGTTGCTCCAAATAAAACAAAGTAATATACAAGTACTATTGTTCTATTGTAGAAATTTTTTAATTCGACATTTTATCAACATGTTACTAAAACTCTTAAATTTAATCTCCCTTGTTAGTTTTGGTGTTTATCTAAATAAAATCATCAGGTGTCTATCTAAATTACCCAAATATCTCTTTAGATTTAGTCAGGTGGCTGTTCTATGTGGCTGACTAATGGTTTTTTTTTGGCCCTCTACGAATTTCATAATTTGAGATATAAAAGTTTCAATGATAACAAAACTCACAATCCTCTATATTACACCACCTTTTCACGTATTAATTACTCCTTCTGTTCCAGTTTATGTGAACTTATTTCCTTTTTGGTCCGTTTCAAAAAGAATGAACCCTTTTTAAATTTGGTAACAATTTAGTTTAAACTTACAATTCTACCCTTAATGAGAAGCTTTTATAACCACCCAAATACTCTGCACCCCTTTTTGACTTGTTTATGACCACAAAAATCCAAAAGTCTTCATTTTTTCTTAAATTCCGTGCCCAGTCAAACAGGTTCATATAAATTGGAACGGAGGGAGTAACGAAGAAGGCCCTCTGTATAATCTTTGTTGCTTCTGATGTAAAAATTTTAAAAGAATTGTATAAAACTTTTATAATAAAAGTGAAAGGAAACCAGTAACTTATCCAATCCAGCACTCCCAGACGGCTAGCTGATACTATTACTCGGTTGAAGTGAAGTTTGGAAAAACCCTTGCGTCAAAAAACACAA